CATGCTCGCGTCTGCCTTGAAGCGCGGGTTCTCGACCGCCGCGCCGTCCGTGGGCCGCATCACCCAAATCATTGGTGCCGTCGTGGATGTTCAATTCACGAACAACTTGCCGCCCATTCTTAACGCTTTGGAAGTGCAAAACACCAACGACAACGTCCGCATCGTGTTGGAAGTGGCCCAGCACTTGGGTGAAAACACCGTGCGCACGATTGCCATGGAAGGTACGGACGGTTTGGTCCGTGGCCAAGAGTGTGTGGACACTGGCAACCCGATCATGGTACGAACGTAGAGACGAGGGAGCATGCGGAGAGTTGTCGTCGTGGTGGTGCGTCGATTGACGGGTTGGTTGTGTAGGTCCCCGTGGGTCCTGAAACCCTCGGCCGTATCATGAACGTGATCGGTGAACCCGTGGACGAGCGTGGTCCCATCACGTCGGTGCACAAGGCGCCGATCCACTGCGCCGCCCCTTTGTACACGGAACAAGGTTCGGGTGCCGAGGTGTTGGTGACGGGTTTGAAGGTCGTGGACTTGTTGGCCCCGTACGCCAAGGGTGGTAAGATTGGTCTTTTCGGCGGTGCCGGTGTCGGCAAGACGGTCGTGATCATGGAGTTGATCAACAACGTGGCGAACAACCACGGTGGTGTGTCTGTGTTTGCGGGTGTGGGGGAACGTACGCGCGAAGGCAACGATCTGTACCACGAAATGATTGAATCGGGTGTGATCAAGCTCAATGCGGACGGCACGACGACGGGGTCGAAGGCCGCGTTGGTGTACGGTCAAATGAACGAACCCCCTGGTGCGCGCGCCCGTGTCGGTCTGACCGGTTTGACGGTGGCCGAGTACTTTCGTGACGTGGAAGGCCAAGACGTGTTGTTGTTTGTGGACAACATTTTCCGCTTCACGCAAGCGTGCTCGGAAGTGTCGGCGTTGTTGGGTCGTATTCCTTCGGCCGTGGGGTACCAGCCCACGCTGGCGACGGATTTGGGTGCGTTGCAAGAGCGCATTACGTCGACGCTGAAGGGTTCGATTACGTCGGTGCAAGCGATTTACGTGCCTGCCGATGATTTGACGGATCCGGCCCCGGCCACGACGTTTTCCCACTTGGACGCGACGACCGTGTTGTCGCGCCAGATTTCGGAACTCGGGATCTACCCCGCCGTCGATCCGTTGGACTCCAAGTCTCGCATGTTGGACCCCCGTGTGATTGGGGAAGAGCACTACGAAGTGGCCCGCGCGACGCAAAAGTTGCTCCAGGACTACAAGGGTCTCCAAGATATCATTGCCATTTTGGGGATGGACGAATTGAGCGAAGACGACAAGCTGACGGTCGCGCGCGCCCGCAAGGTGCAAAAGTTTATGTCGCAACCCCTCCACGTCGCCGAAGTGTTTACGGGCAAGCCGGGCAAGTTTGTGCGTTTGGAGGAAACGGTGTCGTCGTTCAAGGCGATCTTGGCCGGCGAGTACGACGACTTGCCGGAAGCCGCGTTTTTCATGGTCGGTGGCATCGAAGAAGTCAAAGAAAAGGCCAAGGCCCTCGCCGCCGAATTGGAAGACTAAACCAGCATAAAGGACACCCTACAACCAGCGTTGTATATGAACTCGACGGCGTTCTCCTGTGTGGCGATTGTGCGCAGGATGTGTGTGTGTGTGTGTGTGTGTGTGTGTGCTGATCGTGATTTCTCGAGAGCATGCGCCGTGGCGTGCTCGGGGGAGGCCGGTTATGCCACCCGGCGGCCATTGTCGCCGCCGAGTGGAGCTCTCCGTGCATGGAGGATTTTGGTAAACTTTGCGGGCACTACAGTCGTCAATGGAGACGAAAGGAACCGTCTAGGCAGTCGTGTCTTTATTTGGAGACTGAGTTCGTCGGAAGAGGGCGGCCGAAGCCACCCTGACAGGTTGCTCGGCACACGTCCATCCAGCGAGCGCGGAGAACGGCTTGGACGCTTTTGTACAGTCGAACGAGGTCGTCTGCGTCCCGCTCGATGGGGATGGCGCATCGTTTATCGAGGGAAGGTGTGCGTCGACGATTTTCCGTTGGAAACGTTCTGTCACGAGTGGCAGTTTTGCACCGACACGGTGCCATGACCGACCATGGAGCATGCGATGGGATTCCTCAGCCAGAATGCGTCCGTGTGGTGGTGCGCATGCGTCCTTCCAACGAGCGAGAGCGCAAGCTGCAAGCCGCCAACGAGTCGGTCGTCGCGATTCGACCACCATCCGAACCGACCGACTTGCCCACGCGACTCGACGTCAAGTGCCCAGATCATTCGATTGACGCGACGTACAACTACGACGCGATCTTTGGGACGCATGCCAACCAGCGCGACGTGTACGCGTACCTGCAGTCGTCGGTGGAGCAGGTTGTGCAGGGGTTCAACTGCACCATCTTTGCTTATGGCCAAACAGGTACGACGCCCATCCGACAAGTGCTACGGGTCATCCAACCGTCTAGGCACGGGGAAGACCCACACGATGATGGGCCCCGACTCGTCGCTCCGGCAAGGCGACATGAGCCAGTGGGGCATCATTCCTCGCGCCGTCGACGGTCTGTTTCAGGAGCTCAAGGCCGTGGGAGCGTGCGGGGCCGGGGCGTTTGTGCATTGCTCGTACATGCAAATCTACAACAACCAAGTATTTGACCTGCTCCACTCGTCGGCCGTGAAAGACCAGCCGCCGCTGCAAGTTCGAGAAATGATCAAGGTGCCGGTCGCGCGAGACCGCATGGTCGATGACTGTCACACCATAGGGCCATGCCAAGCACATTTATGTGAGTGGCATCTCGGAATTTCGAGTCGGCAATGCCCACGAAGTGCTCGACTTGCTCCATCTCGGGAGCAAGAATCGAACGATTCGCGCCACAGGTTGGTGGAGCTCCATTGCGACAACCAACACGTCGCGGGTGTAGAGTGCAATGAAAAGAGCAGCCGCAGCCACGCGCTGCTCCAGTTGTCCATGGAAGTCGAGTCGCGGGGCAATGAACGAACGACCATTATTCGGCGGGCCAAGGTGCGCTGCACCGACTGAGCGCCATCCACTCTATGGTGCTCGTAGCTAAACTTGGTGGATTTGGCCGGGTCGGAAAAGGTACGCCGTGGTGGTCGGGACAAGACGAAGGCGGCGGTGGGCGTTATGGAGCTTGCTTGTAGTGGGACACAGACGTCGCCATGACGCACGATCGCACGCGGGAGCTGCGCAACATCAACGCCAGCCTCTCGGCGCTTGGCAACGTCATTTCGGCCCTCACCGACAAAAAGGTACTCGGCGTGACGTGACCTACGTCATGATGGCGTTGCATCCTGATGGGAGGTGGCGGGCCGTAGCGGTCGCACATCCCGTATCGCGACTCGAAGCTCACAAGGTTGCTTCAAGACTCCCTCGGCGGAAACACCCGAACGATCGTCATTGCCACGATCTCGCCGTCGGTGGCAGCGGTCGAAGAGACCGTGTCGACGCTCCAGTTTGCCGAACGAGCCAAGCAGATCGCGCTGAACGTCCAGGTCAACGAAGTCGTGGACGACGCGGTGTTGCTCGCCAGAGCCCAGCGCGAGATCCAAAAACTCAAGCTGCAACTGCAAGCGGAACAGCCCAACGTGTCGGCAATGGGGCACAAGATCCAGGCGCTGGAGAAGCAGGTCGACGTCCTTCGTGTCGAGAACCAACAGCTCAAGGCGCAGCTGGCATTGGCAGCACCCAATTCCGACGGACATCCGCGAACTGCCCCTGCCATAGCTCTCTCGGCGGACCTAGATCTGGGAGACGGCAAGGCGCAAAGGCTTGCAGGGGCGTCGTTGTCGGCCCAAGGACAGCGAGCCATGGCGAGTCGACCAGCCAGCAAACGCACCTTGACAACCCCACGGACACCAGAGCGAACGAATCAAGACGAGTCGGGCGTCGCCCCAGACTGGGAACACCAGACGCAGCCCTTTTTGGCGCACCTGGAAGACATTCAGGTAGTTCAGTGTCACTGCCGTCGGCGCCTGAACATGGCTGCTGCGCGTTGTCGCGGCGTAGAGAGAGCGGCGAGACCTCGAAGCGCAGCTCGAAAAGCTCAAGTTTACGCATGTGCCAGAGGAAGACGACGTGTGCCCCATGTGCCATCTCGTCATCGACCACCACACGGACTCTGAATTGGACCGGTGCATTGATTTGGAAATGCAAGTCACGGCAACCCACTCGTCGTCCTGTAAAGACGTCGCGGCTGCACCAGGCGATGACCCATCGCGACCACATCCCGGCCACATCCCGGTGAAGCCGCCGTCGTTACCGTCGATTGTAGCGCGCCCGGTCCAGGCGACCGCGGCACCACTCGGCTCTTTCCCGGCCAGCCATGACCCGCGAGAAACCTCGAGTTCTCGAGGCTCGACCAGAGCGCACTCGTTGGTCCCTGTGATGCCGGCCAAGCCAAAGCCAAAGCCCAAACGCAGCCAGCAAAAGGCCAAGCTGGTCCTAGCCAAGTCCAAGTTGACGAAGTCGCCGTACGGAGTCAAGGCCCCACTCGACAAGCCCGACGACAGCGCAAACGAACCCGAGGCGTCGGCGGGTGTTGGCAGTGGGCTGCACAACGACGTGCGGGACATCGGCGTCAATATAAGCGTCTACACATACAGGTGTGCGACCGACGAGTGGGCGATCGATTCGATGGCGGTCGTGTGTTGTAGGTATGACTGCTGGTACCCGTGCACGATCGTCGGGTACGATTCGAAGCGGAAGATGCATTGCTGTCTCTACGACTACGGGGACAAGCAGTGGGCAGTCCTGCGCGGCAAAAAGTTTAAAGTGCTCGGCCGCGACAGTGCGCCGTCGCCATCTCGAGAGCCCAGCACGTCGTCGTCGCCCCGCAGTCGAAACCAGCCCTTCTAGTTTGAATCATGCACGTGACGCTGGTCTATCCTATCTCTCGCCGTGCGTAGAGTCTGCTCTGCCGTGAGATCGACGCACCCCCTAGCGATTCAATCGATAGACCACCAGCCATCGGTTCGATCTTTCTGCATGAAATCGTGGCACACCACGGTGAAACGCGAAACGCATCAGGATGGAATGAATCAAACGGTGCTTGGGACTGGGGACGCAAGGAGCTGCTACCACTACAGACCAGAGGGAGGACTTGCTCGAAGCGGCATCATCGCCATAGTCAACCGCGTCGGCTGCACGGAAATGCCATTGAACAAGTTCGTGTGGTCTGCATCCGGCGCCAGCGTAAACTCGTACTTGGTGAGAAGCGTCGCGACTACGACCTGCAGCTCGGCCATGGCAAATCGCTGGCCGATGCAGTTTTTCGAGCCAGCACTAAACGGCATGTAGTGGACGGCATGGCCTCGGCCGTGTCGAAGGCCAAGGTCGGCGGCATAGGCGCACGTGCCAGGAACGAACCGCTCAGGGACGAAGTCGTTGGGATGGGCCCAGTACGTTGGATCGCGCTGCATGGCGGCATGCACCACGCACACTGACGTTCCCTACGCACGACGAGTTCGAGGGACGTGTTGAAACAAGCACGCACCTTCGAGACAAACACTGACGAGCCGTCGGACATGGGGACGTCGACGTCATCACGGGCCATGCGACGCCCGATGAACGGGACCGGAGGGTGCAGGCGGAGGGTTTCTTGAATAAAAGCCGTCGTATAGGTCAAGTCGTGGAGGGCTTGCCACTGGTCGAACGAGCCATGGACGTCGAGCAAGTGCAAACACTCGCGCCGAGCCAACGCCGCCTGGGACGGCTCGCAAGCGAGGCGGTAAAATGTCCAGCACAGCGCCGCCGTCGTTGTGTCGTGCCCGGCAAACATCACGGTCAGGGTGTGCACCACAGCGTCGTGGGTGGATGTTCCAGCCTCGAGCATGCGGTCAAGCAAGTCGCGCGGGGTCGTACTTGTACTTGTGGTTGGTCCTGTCGCGAGCTTTCGGTCGATGATGTCTTGCATGATGCACAGCAGCTTGGCACGGGCGTGGTGGCGGCGTCGAAAGCTCGGGAATGGCAACCACGAAAAGCCAGGAATGCACATCGAGCACGCGAGAAGGAGCTTGTTCGGCATCGCTTGCAGCTCGTCGAACGCGACGATAGCGTCCGGGTTGGATTGAAAATCGTACCCAAACGCGGTCAACCCCACATTGTTCAACGTCAGCGCTTGAAAAACTAGATATGAAAGACGTCCGTGAGATGGATGGAATGCGCGGGCGTCGTCGGGACCTTACACGAGTTCATGTTGACTGCGCGACCTGCCGCAGTGACTGCGGCGCCGTCGTCGAGGTGCGATGCACAGAATCGAAGCGTCTGGTCGGCAAACACAGCGATCGACGACTTGATTTGACTCAAGTTGAAGTGTGGGTTGAGCACTTTGCGGTGGTAGTCGTGGTGGCATCCTTCCGAGCTGAGGAGGCCCTCGCCCGACAAAAAGTCCTGGATGCATCGTGAGGTTGCCGCGTCGAGAGCATGCACCCACCGTAAAGAAGCGCCGAAGGGTGGGATGGCGCGGGAACGTCGACGCGTGCGTGGCCAAGACAAACTGCACCGCCGCGGGGTCCGTCAACTGTAGGCGGCGTTGGCATGCGATGCGGTAGTGGACCGCTCCCCCAAACTGGTTCATCCAGGACAGGAACGGGTCGGGGAAGTTGCCGACTCGATCAAAGATTTCACGCCTGTGCACACATGAGATGGCTTGTGGCAGCACGACGCGGCGGACGTACATGTTGCCGAGGAGGAAACTGGTCGATGGCGGCCCCGGCACGCGCTTCAGCGGCGTCCCGCCGACAGGAAACACAACAAAAAGGAACATGCCCGCGAGGCAGGTCGCTGCCCCCACGACGACGACGGCGGCACAAAGCAATACGGCGGAAACGTCAAGCGCCGCGAGGCTCATCGATGCTGGATGTGTCGACTCGACGGGGAATTCGACAATGTCGTGTGGACGGCGCGGCCACGAGTGAGCTTGCAGTTGCTGACACCCACGGCAAACCACCCCGACCGCTTCTCGACTTGGTCAGCCACGTTGATACTTTGGTGTTTGGTTGAAGCGTCGGGCACCCCAGGACAGTATCCGACGTCGGCAAGCGGTCGCCCGATCCGTGCGAATGCCCGCGAGGTCGTCCAGCTCAGCACGACGGCCCTGGACGCATCGTTGGGTACGTAGATGGCTTGGAGCCGAGGGAAACAAAAGGCCTTGCTTGTTGAGGACTGGCTCGACCAAGGGGGGTATACCACGTGTGGGGCGTTGTCGAGATGCACATCGGGGTTCATATTCCCCCGACGTCCATCCGTGGGACCGCGAGGCGGTCGCAAGGCTCGGTTTAAGCTTTAGCTTTACGTTCAGTTCAGACAATCGCCGCTCCGCTTCTCCTTTGCGGCGAACGCACATCCACCGCACGTGGACGGCGGGCCACTGTGTCGTGGATGCATTGGATGACCATGTTGTCATCAATGCCATGATGGCCGCGCTACCCCCTACTTCACCTGGAGATCCAACGCGCGCCAATGCATGGATTCGGGAGAGAGTAGCGCCATCCCGAGTGTGGCATGCATGTTGTCCAAAACGCACTGCGCGTCGGCGACCACGGGAGGTGTCCGTCTGGGCTCGATGCAGGTCGTCTCGGGCGAGAATGCCACATCGCACGACGCTGGCTGTGGAAACGGGGTCATCGGCTGCCGAGGCCATGTGCGCCAGCATGTCCGACTGTGTTTCGGTGCCAGCTACTCGAGCACAACCCCATGCACACCCGAACACAGTGGTAGAAGCACGACGGTGGCGGTGGGACTCACGGCAGCATCGAGCCACCGAACGCGACGACGTGGTGGGCTAGACGACTGTAGCGGTTCCATCTCGCAGTCCATCCTGCAATCGCGGGGGAACGGCTGCTCCCTGCCACGGCGCTGCCTCTTGCCCCAACGCACCAAGGGGTGTGGTGCCTTGAGCACCGCAGCTCGATTGGTCGGGGATTCGCGTCGTACGCTCCAGCATCGATGGGCTTTGCGTACAGACTTGTCGTGTACACGGGCGCAAGTCCAAATGCTGACACTTTCCTCGACATGACAAAGGCGCTGCCGAGCGTAGGGAAGCATGCATGTGGCAACTCCACGGCGCAGCACAGCCATTCGTATTCAGACGCGATGGATTCCATGCCGAGGCAGTTGTCGATACCTCGTTGGCGACGGATCGAGCTGGCGGACGAAGCACGAACGGGTGCGTCGGCATTGTCGGTGGCGATACACACACAAGTCGACCGGGTTTATCCGCAGACCACACTCGGCGCATGGCAGACGACATGGCAAGTGCTCGAAATCTATGTCCATTGCCTTGACCACCTCTGCCCTGTCGGGACACTGCCAGCCATAGCATGCATGGACGAGCACATCTCCTGACGCGACTGTTTTCCGACAACGATTCGTTGGATTCATTCGTAAACGATTCTCGTCATGCTCTAGACTAGTTGCAACGGACCGATCGCGACGCGGCGTCGACTACGTCGTTCTGGTCAAATCGAAAGGGTTGGAGCGGTCGCACTCGTTGTCCGTCGGCAAATTCGGACGCCGTTCGGACGGCGCGGTTGGCAACTTGAACGCGCAACACGACAATCCACTCGCGATCGGCGGCCTGGATCCACAATCCCTTGGTGGCTTTGTCGTACCAGCACATTCCAGCCGCGGCTGGGACACTCGCCGCGACCCGCGTTTCAAACGCCACCGCAGCATCCATGTTTGGTCGGTGCATCTCGATAAACTTGATCGCTTTGCCGCCCAGCGACGCCACGACGCCGTACGATGCCCCGACTGCCCGCCACATCTACGTCGCACATGACCATGCACACCAGACCATGCCGCTTACGTTGTACAATTGCGCCGCGGTTTCCGTCCACAACACAATCCCGTCCTACGAAGCCAGGCACGATGTCAGCGGTGAAGAAGCCCCTTCACAACGGGTACCTCACGGCGCATCTTGGGTGCTGCGGTGGCGCTTGCTTCGTCCTGGAGTCCACGCATGAGGCAGGTCGCGGTCGATGAGCGTACCTGTGGCCGCGCGTGTTGGAAAAGGGTATCGATATCGCGCAACGTGTGCAGAACGCATTCGGCGCCTCGCGAGGCCAACCGCTTGGATAACCTAGTCGGGGCGACGTCAGTGTCGGCACGGACCGAGGGGGAGTCCCAACTCTGGTAAGGTGGCGGTGTCGGGGATCGCGATCGTGTCGTCGCAGTAGAGGATCCGGCCTACATCGAACGCCCTGGACACTCTTGAGCCCCCGCCGTGGATGGCATGCTGTCACCTCGGGTCGATTTCAATGATTGAAATGCCCGTCGCTTTGTCCCCGTGATACAACGCTCGCGGGATCGGCGCCGGTCCGCGATACTAAACAACGCCGACTGAGCAACGTACGCGGGGTGGCGTACCTTGGGCAAGATGGACGGGTGCATGTTGATCGCTCCCTTGGCAACGTTGGCCAGCATCGGGGGATGCTATCCGCCACATCATGGAGTGACGCGAGATAGACGTTCGTACGATGAAATAGCCAAACGAGACGACCACGGCAATGTCAAAGGCGGACCCGGTGGCAGGCGGCGGCACAGTCCACTGCCGACGTGCTTTTCTACACCGTCGCAGCCACACATTGGTACGGCCAACGCACGACGAAAGGCGCCGTGCGATACGTACGCGTTGTCAGGGACGTGATGAATGGGGAGGTGGTTGTCCAGGGCAAATTGCTTGACTGGAACGGGCGCAATCGATCGCGTTCGAGCGACACGCTTGTCGGTGGGGCATACCACCTACATGACGATCGGGTCGTCGGCCCAAGATCCGTTGTCGCGTCCTGACCTCGATGGAGTGAATCAAAGGCGGGAGGTGCGGCAATCGTGGTCTACGGAGAGCAATGTCAGGACCGCATTTTTGAAGACGCCATCGTTGTCCGCACTGCATATTGGCATGGAGCAATTCAAGCGTCGCCAGCGAGATCGCATCCGTTCCAAAAAAGAGCACGCGGAGTCCTGTCGGTGGCGCCACCGCCGACTGAACCATGGGGATGTCATGAGGCAAGGAGGGCAGAGCGGTCAACTGTCCAGGCTGGACGGTCGTTGCCACAGGCAGTCGAATCGTCGTCGACGTGTGTACACTCGAACGAAACTTGACCGCATCGGACAAACCGTGGCTCTGAATTCTACAAGTAGCGCCAGCGAAAGGTCCTGCTTGCTTTCAGCGGGACACGACTGCGCACGCACCTCTTGGACAAAGGAGCCACCACGATGCGACCCTCGGACAAGAGCAAATGCATGAAGGAGCCGTCGAGAACAAGCAGGCCAAGCTGCAGGCAGGCGTAACCAACCAGCACCAACACCACGGCATGGACCACCGACAATGCGTCGAGCTGAATGCTGGACGTGTCAGCCATCGTGAACGAAGCAAGGACAAAAAGACTTTGACTCGACTCACGAGCCGACGCCACGCGAGGTTGGAATGGGATCGCCTGGCCATGCAACCTCGAGGTCGTGCAGTTCGAGTGCGTCTCTTGGCTCCATACCTTGTCGTGGGGCTTGCCTTGACTTCGTCCAAACGGACGGCGTTCGTCGGTCCGAGTCCAACGTCGACATTGACGTTGACTTCAATGTCAACGTACGGTTGGTGGGCATCGTCGCACGTTGTCGTCGCAACGACGCCAGACGAGGGGACGGGAAGTCGCAGTAGGTCGGGATGCCAGGATTTATTCGATTGCGCTGCATCGCTTCGCTCGCCAACGGTGCTTGCGCGCTTGGCATTATCGGCGGCAAAAGTGCTGTCCCTCTTTCATTCGCTTTATCAACCCGACTGGCAGGGAAAAAGATGCCGGACGTCCATGGACCAAGAGATGCCTGGAAAAGTTCAGTCCTCGCTTGCCCTCACACGCGTCTCTCGGCGTGGTGCGGCTACGCTGTGCGATATGTATCCAACGGGACGCGCAGTCCATCGACTCGCTTCGAGATTTGGAGCATCTCGAGGCGTCCGAGGTCTCCTCACTGTAGTCATGGCTAGCTCCATCGAACCTAGTCTTTTTGCGATAACACGTGATATATGCACATGAGAGAGGGTTGTGTCGACGTCGGCTTCGTTGCTATTCTTAGCCGCATGCCACTTGGAATTCTCCGCTTTGGTGTCGATGGCGGCGCGACGTCGAGCATGGTTCGGCGGTTCACGATCGTAGACCACCTCACATCGACCGCCACGGACAGCCCATCGTCGTGCGAGGAAGATGTAGCGCCATTGGGCCTGTCGGACTTTCTGAAAGAGATCGAATACCCGACCATTTCAGGATCGGAACAACGACCCACGACGACGTCCTTCGCTCCTGCGGCCGCCCCCGCTGCGACCGGCAATTCTGTTGGCGATGATGTTGTCCCTAGTGTTGGCTTGCCCTGCTCCGACGAAGACGACGTGATGGATCCAGACGAGTTGTACCGCCGCATACTCCTTCAACACCCTGACCTGACTGCCCCTCTCTTGACGGGCGTGCCAGTGGCGAATGCCGAGGCGACGCCATGTCACCCTGACGTGAGCGACCAAGCTCTCGACGCCATCGAAACCTCGGACGAACCAGTCATTCTCGTCTCAAGTCCACGGCCCAGACTCGGTCCTCGCAGCCAACACCTAGGCACAACGTGCACGCCAGCCGCAGCCCCCGACAAGCCAGTGAAAGAAAGGCATCGCCACGAACTGGACCCGGCACTCGCGGATATCCTGCGGCGGCACAACGAGCTCCAGAGGAAGCGCACCGCCATCATGACTCATCCAACCATCCAGAAACAGCTCAAGTCGTTTTGGTGAGAGCGCTGTCGACAGTTGTGGCCCAGGTCAACCTCTTTTAGGTCGATGTGCGTCAAGCCGACGGTAGCTGAAGGATGCGCCACGGCTCCAGGACTCGCGCGAGATGGGTACCATCAGTTTTACGCTACGCTTCTTGGAGGTAATGCTTTGCCATGGTGCGATGACGCCTCGTCATCCATCAACAGGACTTACCACCGACTGGGACGTGGGGCTGGGAGCATCCATCCTCCACCGAGGGTGGGAATACGACCGGCGAGGCATGGAACGGATGGACGTGAGCTGTTTTTGTGCATCGCTTTACTTTTTCGTCGAGCACGTAAGGCACCTCGTTCTGGATCCATCCAACTCAACTGGTGGTAGTGGGTGACGGACACAACTTTGACAGAGTACCAACGCGTCCTGAAGCGCCTTCGCGAGATCCTCCAAGCACCTGCTACGACCATAGGGCAACCACGCAGCTGCCACGAATCCCATGGCGGCGACTCCCCACCTTGCACACCCGCCACGGCTCCACCGCTTGGTGCCCAAATGAGTTTGTTGCAGTTCCATCAAAAGCTGCAACTCCAAGCCGAACAAAAGGCCCTCCAAGTGTTGTTGGGCAAGTCCATGGACTTTGACGCGTCAGCATACCTCCGCTACGTTCTCCAGCAGCAACAGCCCAAGCCAAGCTGTCCGCCTCCCCGCCGCCACTCCAACTTTGTCTGTGCAGGGAATGCCCATGTCCAAGGCCTTCGGCCGATTCAGTCGGTCGCACAGATTCAGATCAACGTGAAGGCCAAAGTCCGTCCTGCCACAGGCGGCTCAGTCCGTCGGGACTCTGCCCCGGACACCAAGAAACCCATGCCAGCGCTCTGTCGCCCCCTGATACACCCCAAATCCGCGGGCAAAGACAAAGTCCGATCGGTGCACCCCCTGCCGCAACTGTAGCACCCCACGAGCTGCAGCTCCTATTTAGACTTTTTGTGATATATCCTACACGACATGAGAGCGATGTGGCGGCGGCGGCGAGGCTTTCAACGCATGGTAGAGGGAATACCACAGCCGAATCTTGGCCTTGTCTGCATCGGTCGGAAGTCGGTGAAAGCGACGGACAAAATGGATGGTCCACTGCTGGATACATTGCCTCCACTGTTGTTGTAGCTTTGCATGGAGTGTCGGTGACGCCATCGCCTTGGACGCAGCTCGGGACGCGTCGATCAATGCAGCCACAACGGATGCATCCACCGGCGATGGGATCAACTGCCGTGTTTGTTGCTGGCTCTGCAAGTCGTGGAAGAGATTCACACTGTTCGAGTCGTGGCAATGGAGTAAGCACACTGCTGGCGACGCCACGTGAACCCAGCCTTGCAACACCGTCCACCCGGAATCGTCGAGCAGGGCCAGCTTCACCAGCAGCCATGGATTGTCGAATTGGACCACCACGGCCACCTCGACATCGCAATGTTGTGCCGGCGATTCGATCCACGCAGGGCTTTCCACGGCGAGGATTGCACTCCAGTGGACGGCGATAGCGACGTCTGGTGCTTCCTCGGCACGTGGCGCGTGTGGGATGGAGGGCCGTAAGATGGCTGAAAACGCTGACACATTTGACGGCAAATTGAGCTCGGGGACGGCAGACACACACACGTCGATGTGGAGGAATGCATTGTGTGGCATGTCGCTTTCCGCAGGAGCTTGTTTCGGCTGGACAGTCACCTGGCACAGGCCAGCAGGGACTTGCCACGTCTTTGCAACGTGCAACGTGCGCAAAGCATTTCGTTTGTGGGGGTGCAGGGTGTCATGCTTGTCCTACCCATGCCACCTCACGCACTAGTGGTCGACTTTTGGCTTGGACGTACTTTGTAATGCTCGAGCTGCGACGTGAAGGCGTGCACACAATCGTCGATGCGCTCGGCGGTGAGAACGGCCGACCCCAATGCTTCCACATGCGCTGCATGCACGATTGCCGCTGTTTCGTGCAACAGATCCTATGCCGTGTCAGGTTGTACTCCGATCGCAGCCGCTGCGTACATGGAGGAGGTGGTCAAGGCCGGCCGCTTCGGCAGCACACTTTTGCAGCTCGGTGACGACGGCGGCCAGTTCGTCCATGGGCTGCACTTGCGCCGGCAACGCAAACGACTAGCCATTTCATTCGGTGTGGTAAGGGCCCACTATTCAATCGAATGGCGAGGCGGTCGGCCTACCCGTTGCAATACGTGGTCAGCAGCTTTTAACGCCGCAACCCACGCAGTCACTTGTGGCACGTGGTGCACAAGTGCTTGCATGTGAATATGCGTCGGCCAGTTGAGCTGCCGCGCTCTTTTCTTCCACCACGTGCCGACAAGGTGGCTCATAACGAGAATTGCCCCCACAGTGTGGACAAACCCGAGTACCGCGACCTTGACGGACGCGACGGTCAGCGCGCTCTTGATGGGGTTGGCAGATAGGACAACTAGGCGAGGACGAAGCAAGTGACGCGTCGTTTCGTGCATATTCTGTCGTCGACAATACCCATGACGGCATCGAATGCGAGCAAAACATCCACGATGAAACTGAGCTGCGCCGTGCTGCGACATCGATACGGTGAGGCCCACCACGACCGGTACGACACGACCACCAACACCACCATGGCAAATCCTGTCCCTTGCATTGGCTGCATCGCGAGCGACGGGTACCGAGACCGGCCAAACGTAAAGATGGCGAGAAGCACGAGCTTCCACACACACACGTGAACTGGAAACAGCCGCATCTTTTGCGTATACGACGCATACTGCGCCACGTTCAGCACGTAGTAGTCGTCGGACACATGGAGCAGGTATGCCAACTCTTTGCCCTGAATAAAGTGCTCGTGGCGGTCTGCCACAGGTGATCACGATCTCCTCGTCGAGGAACAAGGAACGGACGGATCGCAAATGGTTTACCTGGTTCTCCGAACGCGCCGACGATGTTGATGCTACGGCGCAGCCACACGGGAAACCCGACGAGAAACGGAAGACCGAGCACCCCAGCAATGCAAATGAGGGAGGCGCTAGTGTGGTGGTGGGTCACTTGGATTTCATTTCCAGTCGTCGCAAGTGTATTCCTTACGAATGCATGGCTCCCCCACAGGACACGGTGGCATCTACGCTCATCGTGGATACGAGTTGCGTCGGGTCGAGAGGGTTGATCGAGTCTTGGCAGTGCCACAGCCGCCCCACGGTCAAGCCAATCGGCAAGTACATAAACTGCAAGACAAACAACACACGATTCTCGAGCACCGCTCGTTTGGACAAAAAGGCCACGTCCCCCGACGCCCGCCACCGTCGAAACGCGGCATACGAACCCAAAGTCAGCACATACGGCATCATGGCAAACACTAACGCGTACACCCAGTAGTGCGGCAAGTCCCCCCTACGAGTCAGCCATTGCTAGGCCACGGTCGATCCATGCGAAGGCTCTCACCAGTGCGAAAAGGCCGGCGTCGCCTGGCCCATGCCAGCTCCCGTTGGCATGAGGCTAAGAAAATCCAAGTTGAAGAGGACGGTCCACCGCGTCAAGGCGAGCCATTTGGACGGCCACGGCCAAATTTGGGCGAGTTGCCACATGAGACCGTAGATCTGCAACGCATCGACGACCACGACCCCCTTTTCAATCCAAAACCGGCTCACGCGACTACAAGACGACGCGAAGGTCAAGGGCGAATCGAGTCACCTTTTCACGCACCGTTTCGTTCGGCTCAACTCGGCGAGGAGTTGCTGCGACTCGGCGCTCAAGTGTTTGGCCGACGGGCTGGCCTTCTGAAGCAGTTCTAGGACGGGTTTGACACGGCCGCGCACTACCGATGCGAGTCGCTTCGTCGGGACCACTTTCATGTCGGCACCACCCCCTGCGAAACGCCGCCTCGGGTCGGTTACTCACTGTCAATCCTTCCAACGTGCGGAATGGACGTGACTTCGGAAACCGCGGTGCATGCACGACAAGTTCGAATGAGACTGCGCCGCCGCAAGCTCCACCCTGCACACACAGCGCATGACGCAGTGTCAGCAGTTCCCGTGCGTTGTTCCAACCATATTGTGGGTGCGCAGTCCGAAGGTGGATGCCTCTGGTCGCGAAACGACCCAAACATTCCTGACCACTCGTGGGACGATGCATGCTGAGCAGCACGTGGCATAGTCTGGCGGTCCACCAGTGCATTCGAGCACGTGCAGGCATGCCATCCACGCGGCGCCACACGACGACGACCTTGACTGGTTCCAGGACTTGGCGATGCCCCATGGTCCGTTACTTCGCCATGCACAGGAGAAAGTAGCGATATTTTGAGAAGGCCCGCCAAACTTGGAAACGTGATCATTGCATGGGGTCCGCGTCGTCCGTGGATGCCGTCAACTCGACTCAGTCTTGGGAAAAACAACAGGGGGACATAGCTTTCAAAGCGGGGCAATTTCACGATGCTATCGCTTGGTACACCAATTGCATTTGGCATGCGACACACGGCGGCGCCAGGGACGAAGTGGTGTCAACGACGCACCCGAATGAGCTGCTAGCCATGCTCTACAGCCATCGATCAGGTGCATATTTCGCGATACGCAACTTTGACAAGGCGTTGGATGACGGCTTCCGAGCGATCGAATTGCATCCAACGTGGACGACGGGGTATTTTCGAGCGTCGAGCGCTGCTATGCACCTTGGTGATTCCGGTCGTCGCGATGCGCGGGACCTCGTAATGAAAGCCCTCGTTCTGTCTCCGACGGACTCGACGCTTCAAAGGATGAAGGCAGATCTCTTCAACAACTTCGAGCCCCACCAAGACGGCTTCGGGACGGTCTTTAGCTGGGGGCGTGGCGATGAAGGACAGTTGGGGCATGGGATGACCAAGACGAGACTATCGCTACCGACAATGCTGGACGCCTTCCGAGGAAAGGACATCGTCGAAGTCGCGGCGGGGGCGATGCATACGCTAGCTCTTACCTTGACTGGCGACGTGTATGCGTGGGGCAACGATGCTCACGGGCAATGCGGGCTCGCAACACAAGCTGGCGGCAACAACGCATCAACGGTAGACATCCCGCGCCTCGTTCCGGCTCTACTGGGACGTCGGGTTGCCGCAGTTGCGTGTGGTGCAGGGCATTCCGTCGCGGTGGCAGCGGACGGAGCAACGTACGCATGGGGCATTGGGCGGCAAGGGCAACTTGGCCACGGCACTTTAGCAAGTGAGGCCTCTCCACGGGAAATCGAATCCTTGGCCGCCGGCAACGTTGTTGTTGTGTCTGCGGCTTGCGGGATTGCCCATACGATCTTCTTGACCACCGATCGACGGATGTACGCGTGTGGGCTGAATTCGTTGGGGCAGCTGGGCATCAGTGCGCAACCACACGTTCAAGTGCCAACACTCATTGCACCCCTCTCCGACGTAACCCACGTCGCGTGCGGTGGAGCGCACACTTGTGTTGCCGACAGCATGGGGCGAATATGGTCCAGTGGCTCAAATAGCTGCGGACAACTTGGTCTTGGTCATTCTCGTGACATGTTCGGGTTTGAAGTCGTGCCAATGCCATGTCCATGCGCGATGGTAGTTTGCGGGGAAGAATTTTCTGGTGCCATCACAACCACGCGCGACGTGTGGATGTGGGGACTTGGAATCGCAGGACAGATGGGGGATGGCTCGTACACGAGTTACTCGTCCCCCCACAAGGTAGCAGGGCTACCACCTGTGGATGCGCTGAGCGTGAGCCAGGCCCAAGTGTTTGGCATCACGGCCGATGGTTCGGTTTGGACATGGGGGCTTCCAGGCGATCAAGCGCACGATGCTGGAGCTGTGACGACGACGCCGCAGCAAGTCGCTGCATTCTTCGGAAAGAAGCGGGTGCGTCAGCTGTGCTGTGGCCGCAAGCACTACGTGATTGTCACGACTGGGGCGTTTGGACCCACTTCCACACTCGAGTTCAGGTCGCGTCCGCCGTTCGTTGCGGGGTCCTGGATTCGCTTTACGATCCAATCTCGAGACGTGAATGGGGGCGAATGCTCGACGGGAGGGTCCCGCTTCAGCGGCAGGCTCTCGTTGCAAGACTCGAACGACGCCAAGGTCGCGCTGGGGCTGTGGATACCGGATTGTGTCGTTGAAATCGACGACAACATGGATGGCTCGTACAGCGGTCGGTGCAGAAGCGCCACAGCCGGACGATTCGTCTTGGAAGTTGCGTTAAACACCCAGCCGGTGGCCGACAGTCCTTTGGCGCTTGACATTGTGCCTGGTCCCGTGAGCCCGTCCCATTGCTTCGTGGCATGGAACTCCAATGCATCCACAAACCGGCAGCTCCAAGGGCCGCCACACGCTCGGTTCTGTGGGGCGCTTGTCCTCCGCGACAAATGGGGCAACTCGACAACGGAAATCGATGCCAACGCAGTCGTGGTGGTGCAAATCACAAACCCCACCAACAACTCGATCGTGTTCAAGGAAACGTGCTCCGTTGTGGACTGTCGTCTGTCCGTCGAGTGCCCCGACGAGTGTGGAGTGTACGCCATCGAGATTGGCATCGACGGACTGCACGACGACTGCGCGGTCGGTGACAGTCCATGGTCCTTGACCGTCCGCACGGAGCCGTCGCTTCAAGACATCCTCTCGGCATGTCGAGTTGTCTGTGTGTGTCCCGTAATTGCAGGCGCTGGCGCTGTCGTCTGCGTCGACTGGGACGCTGCGATCGTGGCCAACCTGCATGGGTATAATGTCAAGGTTGTTATCACACGAACGTCGGAGCACACGTTGAGTCCACGGGCGTTGGTTCGGTGCGGGCATGCACTGCACCCCTTGATTCAAACGGTTCCTGTGGCCGCCGCCAATTCCAGCGCGACATTTGACATGATCGTCGCTGGCGAATACTCGATTGTGGCTACCCTCGAACCAACGCATGCGACGTCGTCGTTATCTTCCAGCGATGGCTGCGTGGAATTGTTCGCATCCAAGCTCGACGTTCTCCCGGCGCGACCGCATGTTGACTTTACAGAAATCCGACAAGTCAAGTCCCAATTGCATCAGCTGCGCCAACGCGAAGTCGTCTACTTGACCCTGCAATTACGCGATGCCTACGGAAATGCCTGCACTAGAACCGACCCCACCGCCGACCGCGTTACGGCGTATGTCGCCCCATACCACACGCTCCATGAATCGACTCCCGTCGACGTCCGTGCAGGCGCAGTGCCGGGCACTCTGGAACTGGCGGTCAAGCCAACGTCAACCAGCGCATACTTGCACGTCTTGCTCGACGACATGCCTATCCTGTACTCTCCCTTTGAAGTACGTGATGCAGTGGCCGAGGGCGTGGCAGAGTCCACTCCGCCGTGCGTTGACGACCGCCCGGTGGCCCCTCCGCTGCACCTACCGACATCGCAGGAATCGCTCGTGGAGCTCCAACGCGTCGAAGTCACTCGTCGCCGCGCTAGCGACGTCCTGCGACGAGAGCGTGCGCGAGTCCAAGCAGAGCGCGACCGACAACTCAAGCAAAACGCGACGAAACGAACGGGGGGAGGGTTCACGGTTCAATTTGAGCCTCACAAGTCGAGGTAGCTCTCGCTATGTCTTGAACAAACCGTCAAATCCGTCGTGAATCGACGCCAAGATGTCGGGGGTGGTAGTGGCTCGGCCATGCCGATCAAATGCGATGCTGGCACTGCATCCACGTCGTTAGCGCCGACAACGTTGGACGGAAGTACCTTTTTCGAGTGACGAGCGAGCCTCCGTACGCGGCCAGACGCAGCATCGACGGCAGTGGCCGAGGCGCGGTCTTGCGTTTGCTAGGATGAACGACCGAGTAGGAGAACCACGTCAAGAAATCGATTAAATCTTGACGAACCCACGACTGGCACCCCACGCGAGAAACGCACCAACGCATCCCGCCAGGACCTAGTGCGCACCGCGCGTGAGCCCTTCGCTGTGAGGAAGGAACGTGTACGTCGCCTTGGCCGCCACATCGACGATACATGGGAAAACGGTCTTGCGTCGAGCCTGCCACGGGGGCACTTAGAATATATACACACGTGGCGCAACCCCGCCACACGCTGGACGATATCGTACTTGAATATCCGTCGGAAATCGTGTCGACGGCGCCTTTTTGAAGCACAGTCACGTGGCCAAGCGCCGCTGCGACGTCGTGCGCCGAAATGGATGCGGCACCGGTCACGTCAAGTGCGTCGGTCAAACCGAGCGCCACGCAGAGACGACCGTATTCCATCTACGGGAACACGGTAGCTCTCCATTCGTGATGGCATGGCACTGGGCAGGATGGAGCGTTTACCGCATTCGGTGTCAGAATTGCGTTCGAGTAATTCCGTAGGAGCGTCACATCGGTCGCCAGCAGGTAGAGGGCATCGCCGTCCAGGACGAGGGGTAAGCGCAGCTCCGTGGCCGCGGTGAGGATGGACTTGGTCGCGTTCAAGACGTTGGGGTCACGGCCCAGGCCTGGACCAAGAATCAAGGCATCGAGGCGGGGCAGGACCGCCAGAATGCGGTCGTTGGTGCTCATGCCGAGGTACGGGTGGACAATGAGCTCTGGGCTGTAGCACTTGATGGGAATACCTGCCTCGGGAGTGCAAAAGATATGGCATAGATCCACGCCCTACCAAGAGTCGCAGGCGATGAGGCGAGTACTACCCAACGGGCGCACCGTCTTCAACGCGGCCATGCCGGCATAGTATGGAGCTCCCGTGTACTCTGCGCAGCCCCCGACAATCCCCACTTTACCTAAACGTGCGGCACCTCAGCTTTCACCGAGTCGTCGCGCGGACTGGTACCATGTTGCCCCTTGTACGCCTCGCACGTCAGCGGCGGAATCAACTCGCTTGGATCCATCGTGGCTCGTGGCAAGATCGTCAGGCAGGACTTGAACAATGCATAACCTCCCAAAATCAATACGCGAGGAAACGTGCAGGCAGTTCGTCTATACAGATATGAACTTTGACATTTCATACAACCTGGTTCGAGTCGGGGGATAAATTTAATGCGTTTCTAAAACTGGTGCTGGCTAATCTCGCGCTGTTTCTTGTGGGGGTAAGCGAGGAGGTTCGACTGGGACGTCGATTCTCGCGACGACGCCTGGGACATCCTGGGCGCAGCAAAGGTCGGGACCATCGTCTTCTGGCTGTTGGAGCGGGGCATGGTCGTCGCGCGAACGTAGCTTTCGGGGGACGTGGCATGGCCAGTTGGGTTTGGGAACGGATCCTCGTGCAGCGACAGGGCGCCGCTCTGCAGCATCAAGTCGAGCTGGGCGTCGTGCTCCGTGGTACGGGAGGGCGAATCCACATCGCGCTCCTCGTCAATGTCAAAACTCTTGCGGTCGTCGCGAGTGTTGCCGAGGTTGGACGTGGGGACGGCAAACGTCGGAACACTCGAGTTACGCGCGTACATGCCGCGGTTTGCATCGTTGAACATGTCCGAGTACGACACGCCTTGGCTGTGGCTTTGCTGGATGTTCTGCAGCGACTTGACGACAACTTTGGGTTGGGCAGCCGGCATGCGCTCGGGGACGTGGTGGACGTGCGGCACGAAAGGTTGTTGCTGGATGGCGGCGGGGGGGGTCGCGCCGCCACCCGAGTCTAGACGGGAGTACGTGGTGGAAGGCGTGTTGTCGGCCAACGTGGGGGTATTGCCTCCCAGCACGGGAGGAATCGAGTTGTTCGTGGTGGTCGCGGCAGTAGTGGCAGTGACTACTTGCTGGGGGCCCGAGGGTTTGGTAGGGCGCGGGTCCTTTGTCGACGATCGAGAACCATGGCCGCCATGTTCAACGTCGTCGTCGTCGTCGCGGAGGTCCATGGCGGCGCGGCGGCGTCGGATAAAAAAGATAATCGCGCCCAGGAGAACGAGCCCCCCAACGCTGCCGAGAACGGCCGGAAGGAGGACAGAGCTGCCGCCGCTGTTCGAGCCCGTGTTGTTGGGATTCAAAGGATCGACCACTTCGCCACTCGAGCTCGAGGGTTTTTCAAATTGTACACCTAAGTCGGCACAGTTCAGGTCCTTTTCCACAGACGGGTTCTTGAACGCGAGCGATCCTTGAACGACGGCACCGGACGCCGCCGTCAGCTTGACCGGGATGCTCGAAAAGAACGACGGGTCGTCGGAAATGCGACCCGACTCAAAGATAAACCCGTTTTGGCTTTGCTTGGCGGCCACCGAGTTGTACGTGGCCGACTCGATGGGCTGGAACGAATTCGAAAACTGAATTGGAATGTAGTCGGCACTGGCGCCGTCCATCATGCACGCTTTGATGTTGCCTACGACGAACGCGTCCGGGCACACCGTGAACTTCCACGTGACCCCGATCGGTGTGTTAATCGGGTTTGGCGTCAGCGCTTTCGCTGCATCCGGAGACAACTGCAAAGGGTCGGAAGCTTGGCTGCCCTCTTTTGCGTCGACGACGTACGCAACGACGGAGCTACCAGATTTGCATGCTGTGTCTTGACAAAGGATTTGCACGCACCGGGCACATGTGGAGAAGCGCTTGCCCGGCACGGACACATACATTCGGCTCTTGTCGCCGTCCAGGTTCAACAGGCGACACGTCCCGTCGCTAGCCTTGGCGTAGTTCAGTGTGAGCTTGGCAGCCGTGTCTGCTGCGCGGCATGACGCCGCCGCGAGCCATACGAGTCCCGCTAGTCGGACCAGCATGCGAGAGAAGTCCAGTCCAGGAGAATGGCAAATGGCGAGCCCTGGGCAAGCAAGCGCTCAATAGAAATATGGCACAAGACCTTTATATTTGTATCCAAAATTGAATATGGCTTTAATAGGGAAACCTCTCACAATGAATACTGTAGTTTGTGAGAAACGCAAAAAGCAGAAAACAGCAGCACAAACAGCAAATGTCCAGCCAAGCTCATATCACCGCGGACGATCGCTTAAACCGAACGGCGTTTTACTCGCCATTCGAACCCGATCTTGCTGCTGGGCAAACGCGTTTTATTCATATTACTCACATTGCAACCTCGAGTAACCGACTCTGGCTGCCTCTTGAGAAGATGCCAATTCCAAGTCACGACACCACATACGATGGATTGTGTATTTCGTTTGGCCTTTGACTGCATCTCGCGCCTAGTGGCTTCGACGATCATCGCGTTCCCGGTTCAACCATGTGTCCCTTTGTCTCATGCTGCTTGACATCGGCACCGCCAGATCGAAATATAAAAAGACACAGGTATTACTCAATGAGCATCGTGGAGTTCGTAACGGGTGGTGGAAGTTGACCACCATACGAACACCAAGTATCGTGCCAGGAGGGGTGACATTGCGCCGTGGCACCTGGCCAACGTGGCCACAATGTAATAAAGCGAGCATGCAAACGACAGGGCCGGCAGTTCACCTGTGTTGTGAACTTGATCGCACTCAGCACACGACGTCATCGTGGCGTTCGACGGTCTGCTCTCGTTCTTGCCGAGGTGTCGCTGGGTCTTGTGGAGCAAGGTACGTGAGCCGATTGTGGATGGACGCGCGCGTCACGACGCCTTCGAGCACGCCAAACTTGGTCACAAACAGCTTGGCACACTTGAGCATTTCAAATAGCAAGTGCACGGTTTCGAGGGGTGTATCTTCATCGACTTTGATCACGTTGCCGCTCATCTCGACCACATCGGACAGCACCAACGTGCCTTCATCCGCCACCTTGCTCATGCTGTCTTGTTGGAGAAGGATGTGCTCGTTTGTGTGGAGGTGGGACGTCGTCGTGGCTTGGTCGTCAGTGAGCAGCGCTTGGAGGTCTTCCCGTGCGACGCATCCGCAAAAGAGACGACTTTCGCGATCTAGCACGACCGGTACACTACTTCGACCAAATCGCTTCAGGAGCGCTTGAATCTCGCCCTCCGATGTGTGGTTGGGAAGGCACGTGAGGTGCTCCTCCATGACGTCTTTCGCACACACGTTGTTCGTGCGCAGTTCATGGCACAGCAGCATCGGCAAGTACGGCAGCCCTTTCGAGATGATCACACTACACGTCAAGGAGGAGTCTCCATGAAGACCTCGTACAACAATGCGAATCGCCCCACACCTATCGTAGACGGACACACTCAGCGCTTTGCCCATCCCTCCGGCCAACAACACAGCCAAAAACAACGGCGTAAAGTAGATGAACTGCCCCGTCAGCTCCAGTGCAATCACTGCCGAGACATAAATGGCATTAGCGAGCACAAACGACGCGTGAAGGCTGGTTGTACCTGCAACGGAGATCGTGTGTGTCGACGACGCTACCAACGCAGCGCCGCCCACAAGCGCATATCCACCAGGTACGATCTCGACGTTGGGGTACAGGACCACGAGGAGTTCTCCCCATATCCGTCCGAACGCAGCGCCGGCAGTAAACAGCGGGATGAAGTCCCCGGAAGGAATCGGCAGCGATACGGACAGGAGCGTGATAAAGACCTTGGACATGGCACTCACCTGTGAAGCAGAGGTGAAGGAACTGCATCGAGGGGGAAAGGTGCGCACCGCAAGGGGGCCAAAGACGCTTTGTTGCCATTGCCAGTGCGGCCCGAGGGGCGTGGGGGCGCACAGTTCTTTGAGCGTGAGGGACACCCCAAGGTGGTTGAACAGCCCTGGTACGAACAAAACAAGCGTAACAATGACCGAAATGAACCCGCCCCACACAAGAGGACAACGCCGGTTGAGGGGGGCGTAGAATCGGCGCAAACGCGTCGCCATTGACACGTAAGTTGCCCCCAGCACGCCCAGGACGATCCCCAGGAGCGCAAACGAAAGCAGTTCCAATTGCCCAAACGACTTGTCGCTGTATGTTGTGGGAAACAGCGCCTGGAACGAGTGCAACCGTTGTTGGGATTGGGTGGTGATGTAGTCGAGGACTTGCTTCATGACAGACCCACTCACGGCCGCGACAAAGCTCTTCCAGTAATTCTATGATGCCAACAATCAACCGGCAGGACACACCATGAAACGAGCAAAGGTCCCCACCGAGAGCAAGAGAAACGAACTGGTGACTTCGATCGAAAAGAGAACGCCGCCAATTGGAGCCCCAAACGTCGAAGCGACCCCGACCGCACACGCTGCATTGTACATGTGTCGGTGGAGGGACTCGTTGCGATAAATGCGCTGGAAGAACTGGCAGTGCTTCATCAGTTGATGGCAGATGATGCATGCTGTGTGAACGAACGGCCCTTCCTTGCCCACAGACAGACCACTGGCTTGGGCGGTGGCAAGGCCTATCGACTTTGCAAACAGTGTACGACTTCGAAGGTACCGCCCAGGGGCGTGGCGCTGGTCTGCGGACAAGATGGTCTTGATTTCCGGGATGCCCGAGCCAGCTACGGCGTCACCGAGGTCGTGAGGTTCTCGAGCAGAATGCTCCCCGGAGAAACGACACCCACCTGCAAACGGGTCAACGAAATGCGTCCACGAAATCGAAATCAAGGCAAAGAGCATGCCCCAAACAATTGCTCCAAGCAGAGAGTAGTTCCACACGGCGGGCGCGCCGTCGTCGGCACTGCTGGGGCTTCGGGACTCCAGCAACGTAAAGAGCTTGGATTGGACCGACCGCAGCCCAACAATCGATTCGTTGATCGCATAGTCCAGCACCGACACTGCAACAATGTGAATGACCAGTCCATGATGGGCCCACAGGCGTACCCGCAGCGCCAAGGATGATAAGGAATAACACGATCTTGCCTTCCTTCTTTACCAAGTCCCACAGACCCTTGGCTGAATACTTGCTCGTGTGTCGGCCAAAGATATTTTCCCAGTTGTGCATGTACCGCTTCTTGCCTCCAGTGGTTCCTTGCCGGCGAAGCAACGACGGCGACGTCGGGACTTGGAGCGACGGCAGTCTCTCCGAGTAGGACAGAAAACTCGCGTCCACCGAGTTCGGCGAGTTTGGGAACTGCATCGAAACGCGACTGTTGCGAGTGCAGCGCGATTGACAAGTGACAAGAGCACATGGAACGACCCACGACGATGACACTCGGCGGTTTCACCGACCATGCGAACAAATCTCCGTCGCCGCTGCCGCTGGCCGGGCCACAGCGTCGTCCAAAAAAATGGCCTCTTGGCTATAGGAGAATGATGCATGGCAAAACGCGGGCCAGCATGATCCAGTATTGCCATCGCGCCGATCGAATATGCGCACGATGCCATGGGGTGCGGACGGCTCGGCAGTTTTCGTATCACTCTCGACATCCGACACCAACGGCAATTCATTTTGCTCGACATAATCAACGAAGACGTAGTCGAACCGCGTCCTACCACGGGGATCTAACATTGCCTTTGCCGTGGGTTCGTTGGTCAACAACGTAAAAAGTGGAGAGCCATTCTCAGCACTCGGTTATGCTGGCATTGTAGGGGGACTTGGTGTGTCGTTGAGTGCGACATCAAGAAGTTGACGTCGCCTCCGACAACATGAGTTGGGCTCAAATCGCTCAGCAACTCAGCAAAGGACGCTCCTTTTCCACTAGAGCGAAAACAATGTGAAAGGTGTCAAGGATCCCCTTTTACTTCGAAGTACTACAGTACTCCAACACCACTACCACCCAACTGTTTTGTTTGTAAGAAAAATTATACGTCGAAGTCAATAGCGCCGTTAGTCTAATGGTTAGGATTTCTCCCTTCCAAGGAGAAGGTCGGGGTTCAATTCCCCGACGGCGCATTCTTTTTGAATCTAAGAAAATCGTGCGTGGTGTATACAGGCACGTCGTATTGAGCCAAAATTTGGGGAGTGCTGTACTCTTTTCAATAAAGCACCTCTGTGCTTGGTCGATCGACAAATGCGTCGTTGGTTTTCGTTCAATTCCGTGAAGTATGAGGTAGCCATACCTGTTTGTCCGGCAGTCTTGCTCCGCAACGTAATACTATCGTCTTTCTCGGCGTTGACACGATCCAACTTCCCCTGTGTCACGCCATTGCCGCTGCTTTGCGGTATGAGTAAGTGAACACCAGTTGACCTGATCCAAGAGATATAGATTAACCGTAAACCACCTACGAATTTTTTAATGTAGTCGAGATGCAATAAGAATGCGCCGTCGGGGAATTGAACCCCGACCTTCTCCTTGGAAGGGTTTAACTGAGTTAATTAATGTATATATGGCTCGGTGAGCCGATAGACTAACTAATCTGCCTCATAGTAGCTGAGGGGATA